AGGGCTTTCTATCTGGCAGGCCCCTGTCTAAGGGCCTTACATGCAGTAACGCGTTTGATTCTAGTGTGATTCAATGAGGCAGGTGCTGCTATTGTCCCCAGGCTGCTGTCCGGTGGACAAAACAGGGCACCAAGAGCTGAGAGCTGCAATCCTTTGCCTCACATCACGTAGGGAAGAGAGGAGCCCGTCCCTGAGCCTGGGCGATCTGGCTCTGAAATCAGCGCTCCCTTCCGTGACACTATCAAGTATGGGTCATCTATGAAGTGCAGGGTATAGAGTTGGTGCCTAATGCATGTTTGTTCTCTTCCAGTTAATTAAGCTTTGGCCAAACTGCTTATTTGGCCAGCGCTTTTCCTTCCTAAGCATTTTCACTTCACCATCCCATCGCAGCTTTTCAAAACACCCGAGAGGCAGTCACCGGTATATGATCTCGGCCAGGCATCCTGGAGGAGCAGAGAGATCCCCAGCCCCATGGGGTAGCGATGGCGCGGCAAGTGGGCCTCAGATGTCCATGCTCTTTCACTGTCCACCGTGTGGTTCAGGGAAGTCACAGAAGCACCTCGTGCCTCTGGATTTCCCTTTGTCAAATGGACACAATGGACTTCCAGGCTTCAGCCCTTTTCATGCACTATCGTATTTATCTTTTGAGCGACCCTGTGGGGCAGGTTTGGTTCTCACTCTTCACATGTCACGGACTTCCCGAAGTCCACAGCTTGGAGAAGGCAGGGCCGGGCTTCACACCCAAGTCTGGAGGACCGCACAGCCAAGACTCTGAACCCCTGGCACTTGGTCCCTGTACTAAAAACAGGGGCCTGGGCCCTGCCCTGGGGCCGGCGATGCCCAGCCAGACCCCTGAGAGTACTAACGGGCCCATGGGCTCCAGGCCAGTCCCCCATTTTGCTTGGTGATGATACATAAACAAAAAACCTTGACACACTAGGGCAAGAAATCCCCAAGGACTGTGGTTGGCAATCTTGCAGTCGGAGCCGTAATGGGACATGCTGACACCTGGAGATGGAGGAATTTGGTGGCGACACAATCACTGTGGCCACTCAGCAAATCCACTCCTCCCTCATGTGAAAATGCTAGATACTTGCTTCCCAGGCTTTCCCTACAGCTAGGGTATGAGTATGACCTGTTCCTGGCCAATGGGATGGTCGTAAAGTCTGCTAGGATGTTCCTGGGAAACTTTTTCCCTGAAGAAAAAAAAAAAAAAAAAAAAAAACAGTACAGCATAGGAAAGAATGCCTTTCTTCAGGAGTTTGGACATCACTATCTACATTTCAGGGCTGGAACTGGGCAGCCATGCTGTGATGTGAGGCATCAAGTGTGAGGACTAAGTCACTTGCAGAAGTTGGAAGAGTAGAGAGATGGAAAGAATCTGAAATCCTGAGCTTTAATTCAACCCAAAACCAGCCACTTTGAACTTCAGGGTATGTGAGATGACGAATCCTCCCCCTTTTTGAAGCTGCTTTGAGTTTTCTATTCTGTTACTTACAGCCCGAAGCACTCCTAACAGGCACACTACCTAATTGAATTGCTGGAAGCGTTTCAGTGAGATAGTATATACCAAGTACCATGCATCAGTCCTTGGCTCAAAAACAGCAGCTACTCTGGAAATTAGAGAATGAGCTCAGGGCTTTAACCCTGAGACTGTTCTAAGGAAGGCCTAGCAAATCAGCTCCTCCACTCCTACCAAGAAATGCCCGTGAGTTTTCCCAGAAAGCAGAAGCCTATGGTGGCCCCAGCACTGAGACACTGTCAGCCCAAAGGGGCCAATTCCATCTTCCAAAGAAGAATCAATCACGCTGCCTTTTGCCTAATGGATTTTGATTTTCGCTCCCCTGGTAGAGAAGCCTAGGGCCTGTGCTGTGGTTTGTCTCAGGGTTGCCAGAACAGCCCATCAATTATTAACAGCGTCGGCTCAGCCTCCACAAGAGAAAAGGGTTTGCAGTAGCCCAGCCCACCCCAGCCAGAAAGGACTCTGCCCTTTATCCTTGAACACAGTAACACCCACCTACTATGTGCAAGGCCGGGAGCGGGCCTGGGAAAAACGCGATTGCATGACACCCGGCAAGGCAGGCTCTTGGCCTCTACTTCTCAGTGGGACGCTGGGCCTGGAGCAGTGAAGAGATCACCTAGGACCAGGGAGGAGGAGGAGCTGAGGCCGAACCCTGACTGCTCCTCATTCTTAGGCAAAGGCGAAGTGGTCAATTTTGCCCCTCACCAGCACCCGTCACCATCTTCCACGCAGTCTCTCAGCTGTAGCCTTGGAGAAACTCTCATGAGCCCTGCTGTTCTGCCACTGAAGGTGTCCAGGCTGGGGGTCTGGGGTAGCCGAGCGCAGATGACTGAAAGAGGGCTGAGCTTGGGAGGCTGAAGCACCAGTGGTGAGGAGAATGTGACAGGTCCCCAAGGTCTGAGTCCCAGGCTAATCACTTTCATCACTCACTCCCCCAGTCATTCATTCTGCATGTGGTTACTAGAGCTCCTCTGGGCCAGGTTCCATGACATGTGGTGGGGACAGAGCCGTGAGTACAATTTAAGGAGATCACATTTTATGGGTGTGATACAAAGAAGCACAACACAAACACACATGAAATGGGGCTTCAGGCCTATGCAGGGAAGATACTGTGTGACACAACAGTAGAAGCACAGACCTGCCTGAGTGGGGAATGAGGACAAAGAGCAGGCAGCGGGGGAGCAGCAAGTGCAAAGGTCCTGAGGTAGGATAAATCCTGGCCTGCTGCAGATGGCAAGGAGGCCAGTGGAGCAGAACCGAGGGAGCCAGAGAGTAGAAGAGATGAGCTCAGAGAGTCTCAGACACCAGATTCTGTCGGCCTCATGGGCCACGATGGAGTCTGGATTTTATTCTGAGTGTGACGGGAAACCTCCAGAGGATTTTAAGCAGATGAATAACGTGATCCAATTTACATTTCGAAAAGCTCACTTTGGCTGTTGTGTGAGGAATGGATTATACAGGGCAAAAGTGGTAGCAGGGAGACAGAAGAAGTCGTGGCACTTAATCATTACGGAAGGAACAGAGTGTTCAAAAATCACACGCTTGGACTTGAATTATGGCTCCTCCTGTCTGCCTGCTCTGTGGCCTGGGATAAGGTGCTTCACCTCTCTGAGCACCACGATTTGTTAGGTATTTATTTGTTCAGTAGCAGTCAGGATTTCCAGTGAGCCTTCCTGCCTGTTTCAGCTCCAGCCGCAGGAAAATCCTAGATGGTCGGTCTGCCAGGAATACGAGCTGACAGCCCAGCCTGGGATCACGCAGAGGTCATGAAGCTCCGAAGCTCCGTTCCTGTGATCGGATTAACCCGAGGGAGAGGAGAGGCTGTTTGTACCCAAAGAGCACCTCTTGTAAACCCGAGCACCTGCGTCTTGCTGCCAGTCGCCACTCAAACACAGCCCTGTGCCCGCTGCTCGGAGGACAGGGCAGAGCCCCCATCCCGCCCTGTGATCTCCTGCTTCAGCGACAACACAAGGAGGAAGAAGAGGCACGTTTGGGCCTAAACGGATGGGTAGTGGGGGAACCCGTGTCAGACCTGGAAATAGCAAAGTAAGTCTGTTGATCCTAAGCCGGTTAAGGGTGAGCAACTCTGTCTTACAGTGGAGGCCCGCTACACACGAAATCGGGCAGGATTATGGCCAGAGGCAGGCCACAGCCTCCCAGGTGGAGATGGGGCCCAGGACCTCTATGTCCTCTTTAGCATCCACAGGCCAAAGAGGAAGTATGTGGGCTCCTCACCTCCAACCAGACGCCCCAACCTGCATCTACTCTGGGGGCTTCTCCCTGAGCAGCCAGATCTGGAGAAAAGACGCCAGAGTCCCCTTCAGCCTGGGCTGCGCTGAGAGGCCCCATGAGCCACCACGCTCCCACAAGGACAGGCCGGGCTGGGTGGGGGTCAGTCCCAACTAATAAGTGGTGGTGGCCTCTTTCCCTTGTCTTTTTGCCCAGAATTTGTTTACCTGCCTGTCCCCCGCCCCTCTAGGCCCTGCTGTCAGAGAGTGAATTCCATTCTCCAAGACTTTCCCAACTTGATCTTGCTGGATCCCAACAGCAATATCTCTGTTTCCCCAGCTCGTCTTGGGCGTTCCCCACTTTTTTTTTTACAGCCTGGAACATACTGTATGGTCATTTACTCGTGACACCCAGAGCTCTGAGGCCCCAACACACTAGGCACCTCTGAGTCCCAGGCTGGCTCCGAGGAGTCACACACCAGCCAGTGGCCCCTGTCCTACCCCTGCCCTCGCCTCAAGATATTCGCCATCCTTTCGGTCCTAGCTTCTACCTGCTACCCAACCCGTGGGGTCAAACTCGTTCCTGTCTCTTTCTGCTTCTTTACTTGTCCAACTGCTTCATTATTCTCTCCGATTTTGAGATGCACATCCTCCTCCACTAGCCAAAGCTTCTTTAAAGCTACATTGAACCACTCTTAGAAGAAACGCACCAAATAGATAAATAAATAAATAGCCAGGTGATCCCTTCCCCACAAGCATTCACAGCTGATGCCAGGCATTGGACCCATCCATGCCACCCCGTGTCTCTTCCCTTTGTTTTTCTTTTACATTAAAATGACCTGACAGTATCTCGGAGGCCCCCAGCCATGGCTGGGCTGCTCCTTTTCCTCTCCTGGGGAGAGTCGGGTTATAAGCATAAGGGCAGGTGCTAACACTGCAGGGCCACCCACGCCAGCCTGGGCCTGGGACCTCCCAGGGAACCAGACCCGACTTCATCCAGTCCCGCAATGCTCCATTTCTGCGTTCTCTTGTCAGGGCCGTAGCTTTTGGTAAGAACCTATAAATCATTTTCTCCAACAAAGTAGGGGACTCAGTATTGAATCAAAGGAGGAGTGATGGCATGCAGTGGGAAGCCTGAGGTCAGTGATCCTCACATCTGCAGATTTAGCCAGAGACCCCCAACAACGGTCTTCGACCCCGGGACACGGGCTCGACCCTGCAGCCCCGCAGGGCCAGCATCCCAGACTCACCTTGGCGGCCACGGAGGAATTGGGTTTCTCCAGCAGGTCCCAGAGCTTCTTCCTCTTCTCCGCGCAGCACGTGTTGTCGAACTCCTCGCCCTCGCGCTCCCGCAGCGTCTCGGCCTCACGCTTGAGCTCCTCGTTCATCTGCTCCTTCTTCTGGTGGTAGCGGGCCTGGCAGCAGGACTCCAGGTAGATCTCGTCGATGCCCCAGTAGTCGAGCTCCTGGCTAAAGCTGAGCGCGCACATCTCCTCCATCATGTGCAGCCGCCCGGTGCGGTAGAAGTTGAGGATGGAGGTGAAGGCGCCTGGGTGGCGGTCGAAGAAGTACTCGTTGTCGTCGAGGCTGTAGTCGTCGCACACCTCGAGCAGCGAGTCGTGCGTGTTGCAGTCGCGGAGCTTGCCGAGCCGCGTGCGGGGCAGGCGGTCCAGGGTGCGCCAGAGCACCTCGTGCGCCAGCCCCCCGACGTTGAGGCGCACACGCCGGGAGCACGCCTTGCTGCGCACGATCTCCATGGGCTCGGGCGGCAGCGAGCTGGTGGAGCGGGAGCCATGCTTCGTCATGCCCGCCGGCATCGCTGGTCCGGCCGCCCCCGCCCCCCCTGCCCCCCAGGCCGCTGTCACTCGACGGCAAGGCCGGCTGCCGCCGGGGAGGGGGGCAGGGAGCGCCGCGGGCCGCTGGGGTGCAGGGGTTCGCGCGGACGTGAGTCACGGCCGCCTTCTCACCTCCATCCCGACGGCTGCGAGGCAGAAAGCGAAAGCAGGCGAGGGTCAGCAACCCGGGAGCTGGGCATGGCTCCTCCCCGCCTCTCCACCGGGGTCCCCGCCGGCCTTGACCTTCCGGGCGGGCACTTAAGCGGCTCAAGGGGGTAGGACGGCGGGCGCTGTCCCTCCCGCCGGTGCTGAAGTCAGCCCCACCCCGCGGACCGAGGGAGGGGCCGCCCTGGGGCGGGGAGAGGGCCCCAAGAGGAGCCCCGCCAGCCGGGCAAGCCCCACCCCGGGCTTCCGCGGCCCAGGCGCGACCCAGCCACCCGGGGCGCTGTCCGCCCCTTCGAGTGCTGAAACTCGCTACACCGTGGGTCTCCCCGCTGTCCCGAACCTGGCCCCGCCAGGGAGAGAGGGCAGCGGCGTGTAAAACTTTTTCTTTCTTTTTAAAACGAGTTCTCATCCACCACCCCCACACTCGAGAGAATAGGGATGGACGGGCAGGGGGGTGGCAGTGGGTGTGCTTTTCCTAAATCTTAAAAGACGGGAGTGGGGGTTCTGGGACTTCAGATGCCCACCTGTCACAGGTCACCACGGACCGGGCGCTCAGGACAGCCCCTCTGTCCTGGAGCGACCCCTCTCCCCAAACCACTGGAGCCCCTCCAGAGGTGGCGCCGGCGCCGAGGCCAGCCGGGAAGGCGCAGAGCCGAGCTCGGCGCGGGGCGCTGCCCCTGCCTCCCCCGCGCCCCCTATCCTGTCGCAGGAGGGGCGCGGAGCCCTCCGGATCCTCCTGCGCCGTCCTCCCCTCGCTCCTTCCCTGCCCCCCCCCCCACCGCTCCTCTCCGGCGATGGCTTTTTATAACTCCGGGTTCTGCGCCTTTCCCCGGGCTCGGAAGGGAAGGGGTGGGGGAGGTGGGGGGCGGGGAAACGAGCTGAATTTTCTGGCCTTTCAAAACGTGCCCTCCTTCCGCCGCGCACTGGTGATTTCGGGGGGTTCCCCTGAGCCCACGGCAGGTGGGGCGCGCGCCCTCGCCCCTCGCCCCTCGCCCCTGAATGGGCATCGCGCGCCTCCTCGGGCC